TCATAGTTATTATCAACTTATTACAGGCGACGAAGAGGGTAGTGTTACTTTTTTGCAGCAACACAGCATTTTTGGGAGCCACTCCAAAATGTTAAGAAGTCGGACACCACGGGGCGTAGGATGCACTTTCTCGTGGGATCTAGACTGAGTCTAAAGTAGGAGGATGGGAGTTAGGGTCAGTTGTAGATGTTATTGGGTCGTTGAAATTGGCGGTAACATCGTGTAGTATGGAACGTGGAATATAGCCGGTAACAGCGTAGGAAATTATGCAGCCTGACACCCATTTGATAGAGAGTCGGGCGTGTGAAAGATTAAGAGGCATGAAGGAACATCCAACACCATCTGCCTGGGCCCGACTTCGTTACCAGTACCAAATATTTCAAGAATCACTAGTCTTAAAGTTAATTATATATTTTAAAAGAGCAGCACACTTAGACACAGTTTGGGAAGGCCTAATCTTAAACTTATATATATATATATGTATATATATATATATATATATATATATATATCCAAACAGCTACACACAGATACACAGTTCAAGTGTCCTTCGTCTAAAAAAAAAAAATTTTATTCCCCAGCCATCATACACAGAGATATATATTAAGAATTCATATCTAAAAGTTAATTATATATCCCCCAATCGAGACACATATAGAGACATTTTAAGAATATGTAGCCTAAAGTTAGGTATATATTCCTAAACCGTGACACATGAAGATATATTTTAAGAAATTATAGTCTAGACCAGTCATTCCCAAACTGTGCGCTGCGGCAATCCGGGGAGCCGCGACCTCTTCACATGAGCGCTGCGATTTTTTCGAAGATACACAATCTTTCACATACGAATAGTTATACTTTTACTTAGGTTAGGGCCCCGTGGAAAAATTGTAATTGAAAAAAAGGCGCCGTGACTGAGAAAAGTTTTGGAAACACTGGTCTAGACTCTATACTGTTTTTTTTTTCCGGCACACGTGTTGGTCAACGCAGGCCGGGCATTGTCATAAATTCTCTGGAAACTAATAAAGCACGAGTCAGACGTGCAATTATTCTTTAGTCCACTTTCTCCTTCTATCACATTGTAAGTGGAAGCGTCACGTATCGGCTTATTCACCTTTCAGACTTGGCTGTTGTCTAGCATGGATTACTCAATAATTTTCTATCACTGTCTTTCTTTGTTAACAAAACAGTTAACGGGGTTTTTTTTTTTTTTTCGCGAAGTCAGTGGGAAGCTCTACTGTGTAGTTTCTGAAGTTAAAAAAATAAAAAACGAGTATCTCTGGCTGTATGGTTAGATCGCTGGAGCCACAAGCACGAGACCTGGGTTCGAATCCTCGGTAAGGCTATGGATTTTTTTCTGTGAGGGGAAAAAAACCTTAACCTGCACAGTCCGTGGCGACAGCACTAGCCACAGGATCTTAACTCCTCAGTCTCAAAGACCACCCTGTCTACACAGCAAAAGTTGTAATTACAGGCATTATTGGCAGTGGCACTACACACTACTGCATCAATATTACATGCCTAGGCAATAATCTAGTACTACTGTCTGAAATCGTCCGTGGCTAAGGCGTTGCGAGTCCGACTCGTGAGCCAGCATACCGCGATCGAAACCCAGGCTGCGTGGATTTTTGTCGTGGTATGGGACGTCGCAGGTCGACCCAGTCTCAAATGGGTACCAGGATGGGCTGTCCTGGGAAAGTAAAGACAGCCGGCGTAATGCTGACCACATTACCCACAGAGTGCTGATGGTCTGTAAAAATATGGGACGCTCTGCCCATATGCCCGATGCGCCGAAAGGCATGAAAAAGGATCTTTACTTTTTTTTTTTTTTTTTACTTTTTACTGTCTGAAAACCACGAAAGTAGTATTTTTTTTAAGACACCGCTCGCCGCAAGAAAAGTACACTAGAAGTCAAGGATCATGAAATTGTTGAACGCATTCACTAACCTCCAAGCCACTGAGCCGTACTAAAGTTAGTTTAAAGAAATACGTTTGAATGTATACAATGCTGTATAATGTATAAATAATTGTCTGTGACAATCAAGAAAAGATAATGAATGACCAATTGCAAATTTATTGTGCTCTTTCTCTTTTCGTGTGTGTTCCGGAGCTTTAATTTTGGAAAAGAAGAAGAGACTTACTGTCACCTCGCCAAGCATTTCACAAATAAACACTAACTGATAATGAGCTCAGAAATATTCAGATACACCAGTTTAACTGTAAACTCTAACAGAGTGTGTCAACGTACGAAAAATGTTAAAGGCAAACGTTAAAGAGGAAGAAGAAGATGTCGGTGATAATGATGATGAAGGAGAAGTAGACTGAGAAAGAGGAACAGGAAAAGAAAGATACAGAAATTTAAAATTGCCTTCTACTATTAGTGCATGTTCTTCTTCTTCTTCTTTTTCTTCTTCTTCTGCTTCTTCTTTTTCTTCTTTTTCTACTTCTTCTTCTTCTTCTTCTTCTTCTTCTTCTTCTTCTTCTTCTTCTTCTTCTTCTTCTTCTTCTTCTTCTTCTTCTTCTTCTTCTTCTTCTTCTTCTTCTTCTTCTTCTTCTTCTTCTTCTTCCTCCTCCTCCTCTTCACCTTCTTCTCCTTCTTCTTGTGATCGCGTCGTCTCATGAAATGTTAAGATTCTTGTCTGAATGTCTACTTCGACCCGTGCAGATCACTCCAGTGCTTACCCTTTATCTACGAAACCACTTTGTACAAATGAAAGACGCGTTCTCCAGTTTATCTTTCGTTGTTTGTAATAAAACCACCAGGACGTGTTTCATATTTTTACATTTCGTATTTTAAACATCCTTTTCTCAACTGAACCACTCGAGATAAAGTTAGAATGATACTGTCATACAGACTATAGGAACAACACAATGCAGCAAATTTATTGAAATGCAGAAGATAGTCAGGTTTAGTCATTAGTAAGAATAAGGCCAGAACAACTACCAATACATGCACTACACATGAAAAGATCTAAAACGAAAGCAAAAGGCCGCCCTAGGAGAATATGGATTGATGACATTAAAAAGCTTCTACATCCACACGGAATGACAGTAGCCAATGCTACCCACCAAGCAACGGATCGCAAACTGTTCCTCTCAACGACGCTAAACAGCAGAAGTGGAAAGTGATGATGTTGAAAGTGATGATGATGGACAATACTTTTGTGGATATTATTCAAAATCCCACACCTGCTTGACGCCAGAAATAACAAATCCACGATTTTATACTGTCTGCATTCTCCGGAATGTTATTATTTCATGAATTCAGACTTGATTGCATTTTGTAAACCACTGAAATTAGCTCTTTATTGGCCATCACGGTTTATGACTACCAATTTACTGCCGTCCAAATGTGCGTCTCCGCTGAGTCAGTGTTACATGTTTCTTCTATGTGTTTGTAATTTAAGGTACAAATGTACCGAATTATATTTCTGGAGATTTTCGGTTTTTATTTATTATAAATAATGAGATTGTCCCAAATATTGGTTGATTTGACATGCATTGTACCATCTTCATTGGTAAATCTTTATTTACATTTCACGGTCACTGATAATGTTCTAGTTAATTATTGAGATTTCAACTGATTTTTTGTTGGTCTGTTGGCTTTAATTATAGTTGCTTTCTTTTTTCTTTCCCTCTTTCTTTTTTTTCCCTAATTTTTTTCTTCCCTAATTTTTCTTTCTTTCCTAATAAACACCCTTCTGTCAAAATATTTTCTTTCTTTTTCCTCTCTTTCTTTCTTTACTTATCCTGTTTTTTTTTAATATACATTTTTTTCTTCCCCATCTTTTTGTTGTTGTATCCATTCTTTCCTTCATATTTCCTTCTTCCCTCTTTCCTTTCTTGGTTTTCAATTCAATACTAATACAACTTCACCATTTTCTGACTATTATAATTGTTATGTGTGTAACTGTTTTACTAGCCTTTTGTAGTTGTTCTCTGTGAAACTGTTTTACTGGCCTGTTATGGCTGCTCTGTGTGTCACGGTTTTACCCGCCTGTTATAGCTGTTCTGTGTGTAACTGTTTTATCCACCTGTTGTACTTGTTATGCGTGTAACTGTTCACCCGCCTGTTATAGTTCTGTGTGTAACTGTTTTACCCGCCTGTTATACATGTTCTCTGTGTAACTGTTTTAGCCATCCGTTATAGTTGTTCTGTGTGTAACTGTTTTACCCGCCTGTTATAGTTGTTCTGTGTGTAACTGTTTTACCCGCCTGTTATATATGTTCTCTGTGTAACTGTTTTAGCCATCCGTTATAGTTGTTCTGTGTGTAACTGTTTTACCCGCCTGTTATATATGTTCTGTGTGTAACTGTTTACCCGCCTGTTATATATGTTCTGTGTGTAACTGTTTACCCGCCTGTTATAGTTGTTCCGTGTACAACTGTTTTATCCGCCTGTTATAAATGTTTTGTGTGTAACTGTTTTACCCGCCTGTTAAAGTTTTTCTGTTTAAGTGTTTACCCACCTGTTATATATGTTCTGTGTTTAACTGTTTTATCCGCCTGTTATATTTGTTCTCTGTGTAACTGTTTTACCTGCCTGTTATATATGTTATGTGTGTAACTGTTTTACGGCCTGTTATAGTTGTTCTGAATGTAACTGTTTTACCCGCCTTTTATATATGTTCTGCGTGTAACTGTTTTAGCCACCCGTAATATATGTTCTGTGTGTAACTGTTTTAGCCGCGTGGTATAGTTGTTCTGTGTGTAACTGTTTTAGCCGCCCGTTATATATGTTCCTTGTGTATCTGTTTTATCCGCCTGTTTTATATGTTCTGTGTGTAACTGTTTTACCCGCCTGTTATATATGTTCTGTGTGTAACTGTTTTATCCGCCTGTTATATATGTTCTGTGTGTAACTGTTTTATCCGCCTGTTATATATGTTCTGTGTGTAACTGTTTTAGCCACCTGTCATAGTTTTTTGTGTGTAACTGTTTCACCCCTTCCTCAGGCTCCCCCATAACTCTGTCTTATTCCCACCTTTTGATATTATTGTATGTCTGTGAATCGTATCTTGCTTAACTTGCAGGTAGTCGCCGTGTTCCTCAGCGCCTTCACCCTGGTAGCCATGAGTGTGGATCGCTACCTGGCTATCCTGAGACCCATGAGACCCAGACTGTCCACCCGTGCCTTCGCTATGACCATCGCCACCATCTGGGTTCTGTCCTTCTCGGTCCCTTTGCCAACAGTGATAACCTCCCGTGTGGTTTACAACAACGGCGTGGCCAACGGCCTGTGCCTTGAGACCTTTGAGGACGAGCAACATAAGTACATATACAGGTAAGAAAAGTACATATACAGGTAGGAAAAAGTACACATACAGGTAAGAAAAAGTACACATACCAGTAGGAAAAAGTACATGTGCAAATAAGAAAAAGTACATGTACAGGTAAGAAATGTACATATACAGGTAAGAAACTACTTTTATCTAAAATCATAAACCGATTTTAGTACTTTCGCCATACAAAACATGTAAGCATTTAAAACAATATGATTAGCGTGTTGTAGGGGTGTGTCCCATAACGCTGGAGTTACTTGTCTTTATTAGGGTTCTCTCCCCCCCCCCCCCCCCCCCCCCCCCCAATGAAACAAAAATACACTCTGAAGCAGTTTAAGTGTTGAGATGTTGGCTCGCAATGGTCTAGGCGGAATCCCGCAGCTCCAAAGAAGATCCAACCTACTTCAGGGGTGAGGCGACTCAAATTATGGCACTAAAGAATTTATAACTATTCCTAGGCGCAACTTGGACTTACTTCCCAAATACTTTTAAGCCGCCAGACTAGATAGTAATTTTATGGTAGTCAAATTAACACAATACAACAGGCACTCCAGACAAACTAAGAACTTCGAAGAATGGACACTAACCACAGAATGAAATATACAACATCATGTAATCAGTGCAACACAAGTAAGGATGTAAAGGACTGAATTCAACAAGACAAAGTAAAGCAGCTAAAGAAGCCAATAATTCTCTACTCCAGAAAGACCCCTGGTTGGTCCCTAGCAACAACAAGGCTCATCATTGCCAAACTGTAGAATTTTGGACTTAGGAGCTGGCACTTGGTGTTAAATGTGACTGCAATTACTGGCGATCACATTTTGTCTGTCCATGACGTTCTATTCATCTGAGTTTCTGATTCTTTAACAGGTATAAAGTCTTGTCTATTCACTAATACTAACAATTTTCATCACTGGAACTGGCAACACTTGAAAATATAGCGATTACCACATTCCATTATTTATGGCCCTAATAGGAAATTCACGGGATAAAGTTCCGTGTTATCTATTATTGTTATAAACTAGAGTCTATGCCACCCTCTGGTCGTGGCAGTTGTTGGCAACATGACCACATTAAAAGCTCCTGGGTGGAGGACACAAGCTGATGGTGATCATACAGGCACAGTTGACAGTTGTCGTCTCGTGTAACACTTGACAATGGTGCATGGACATGAGTAAGTTATTCATTGAGGAAAATGATTACTGCAGGCTGTATGCTGGTTACACTGAATGCGTTTTAGGATAATTATCGCTGACCTTGCCTCCATATATTAGTAACATTGTGTGACAAAGAGGAAAACCAGAGTTAGTAATCACTAAACACCAAGCCATGTTCACCAAATTTCCCTCCTCCTACAGTATTTTAACTCATATGTGCGCTCTAGGCTTTTATAGACCGACTAGGTCTGTAACAACGCCAGGATCACCAGTGGCAGCAGTGAGGTTATAAAGAAAAAAAACATTCTGTCCAATACTATCCCCAGTGACAGCGACAGTCTGCATATGCCAACATTCTCGAGCCAGAGTACCCTTAATCATACAACCACGCCACGAATACATGAATATACACGCACTGAAAGAACACTAGCATGACGAAAACGAGACAACATTCTTACTCTACCGCAGACGTTGCCATGTTTACATTTTGGAGACGTCACGCCACACCTGTACTAAAATTAGCATGAAGTAGATGATACTTATCAATACGGTCTGACCTGTCCTGCCCGATTCTCTCCCTAGTTAAATGGTGCATATCTCTATTAAATGTGAACAAATCATATTGTAATGTCCAAGCTGTCCTCGACCCATTGCGGGAGTATGAGAAGAGATTTTTCTCAGCTTGTAGGTGACCACCCTGGTTACGCGCTCTTTTGCAGTTTGAATGGTTTGGCAGCCAAGTCCCTTGCTAAACATAGAAAACTCTGTCTTACACTCAGTAGTAGGACCGAATGCTTCAATGCTAATAATCTACAGTGTGCTCACCCATGATCATAGACGTTCCCGGGTGAATCGGTGATTGAAACAGAGGTAAGCAGACAGACAGATAAAGAAGCAAGCCGTCTGCTCAGTCTAGAAGCTCTGTCAAGAATAAGTCCCAATGGTTGTATAAACTGCTATCGGTGAGCATTGCTTCTGTATATCTCTCTTTCAGGTCGGCTGTTGGGGGCTTGGATTTTAATTTGATACACTACATTGAGAAAGGTGCCCACAGTTTATCAAAAGGTTTACCTCTCAATTTGTTTTCTCTCGCGCTATCACTCCATTTGTCTGTCTGTATCTCTCTCTCCACCTCTGTCTCTCTCTTTATTTCTCTCTCTCTCTCTCTCTCTCTCTCTCTCTCTCTCTCTCGCTACCGCTGTCTTGATTTCTTTCAATGCAACCCAACTCCACCTAAGTCTGCTCACCCCCACCCCCTCCCCTCGACATCCCAGAGCTCCCAGTCTCAAATTTAATCGAGGTCGCTACCGTCCCTCTGGACCGGACCGTGGGGCATTAGAGACAGTAGCGCCCACTTTGAGAAACACTGATCTAAATGCATGTGGCTGCCACAATTGTCCCAGCACACTACATATCATATGAAAAGAACAGTAAGTTGCATATCTTTTACAAAAGCTCGCAAATCTATACCAGCATTTATTGACTTTTGTATTAATGGCAAACTAACGTTCAGTAGTTTGTAGTCGCCTTTTGGATGATTTTATGAAAAGTGGTCTGCTACCAAATTAGCTGTGGCTAAATTATATCCTTAGTATGTCTGAATTATGTAATAGGTTTCATAACTCTGAAACCACAGGCACCAATCCCGACATTTAAGGAGGTCATTTCTTCGCGCTTCTTACACACAATAGCTGTTTTACTGAGACATCTTGTTTTCTGTCTGACAAACTATCTTAACGAGATCCGGCTGCTCGCTGAATCGACAAGAACCGTGTCAAGTCTGCAGACATAACCGCTTTCTACTAATTATGCTGCTAAAAATAAAAAATAAAACTTCCTTTGTCAATACCTAAACCCACGACCTCTAAGCGCGCCTCTAACCCTTATACCACGGGAGCTCCTTTCGCAGCATTTATGGCATGAATATTTTACACAGAAGCAATTGACTGTCAACCTGACACCTGCGCTGGATGAACCTTATGGAACTGCCAGCATGTAGTCTGGGATTACTGCAGACACGTAAACATATTTGTATAATGCGCCAGGGTAAACTTGACAGAATGGAGATTATATTCAATAAACTGCAAGCAAGCCGACGAGATGCAGTGGTTAACACGCTTGTCTGTCAGGGCGGTGGTAATTTAGTTCCAATACCCCAGTGAGCTAAGGCACTGCTGAAACCTGGGGGGACTCAGGTCCCTAAACTCACCCGCTCCCCTCCACCCCCACCCCCCGTCCCGACAAATATTTTTTGGTAAATGATGCGGGGAGGGGGGGGGAAGGGGGTGGGGTGAGCATTGGCTAGCTAATAATTTTGAATGGGAACTAAGAGGTTTCCTTTAACCAAGTGTAGGAATTTTCTTTGACATTGTGGGTTTATATAGTTCAAATTATTTCGAATATGTGATTTTAGGGGTTTGCAATTCAGGACTCTAATATAATGGCTTATAATGTGATCAAAGGCAATTAAATATAACAATAAAACTGAATTAATATGAAATGTACAAACTAATTTTGTGAAAGATAATTTCTATATACGGTTTCAGGGGGCATCCGAGTCCTTACACAATTTACACAATTAGATAGATCATTATATGTCGAGCTCCGCCTGTAATGTAACATAAAGATGCATGCAAGTGGCACATGGATGGCATTGGTAATCGGGTTTATTCATGAGAGCAGCATGTCATGAACTTTTTGCTTTGTGGACAAAGGGAAGTAAGAGAGGGGGAAAAGGGGAGGGGGTAATCACCAAGGAAAAATGGATGAAGAAGGAAGTGGTTACAGTTGTCTTGATAGCTTGGCCTCTGTGATGAAACACTTTAAATACACAAGATGGCAACAATGGTCTAGAAATCCCATGTTCTAATTTGTAAAGACTTTTCTTAAAGTGGTTATTGCTTTTCACACTCGCCATCGCCTGCGATTTCCATGCCACAATACAGCACAATGGAACTATCGTCTAGAAAACAAAACATTTGCGATACCCAAGGAAACAACAATATTTGTTGCGGATGGTGGGTATTAACTTGACAGTCTGGGTCAGTTTTGTAAGCAAATGTGCACCTACAGTTTTCAGATAGTTTGAAAAAAAAAAGCATTTTGCTTCCTTGCTTGCTGTACCCCATCACGACATTACACAAGCGATAAACACCCGGTGACACAAAGTGCCACTGTGCTGATGAGGATCACCCGTGGAGAGGTCTCAGGAAGCCTTTTCATCCGTTATGGCCACAATTGTGGTCCTGCTATATTCAGGGCCCCTGTAAAAGTCCAGGGTTGGGCTACAAAAACAACAAAAAAAACCGAAAAATTGTATCCCACAGGGGTACGAGTTCGATTACACAAGAGCATTTTTATTATCTCATCAGTTTACGGCAAAAACCAGATCTGAAACAATTTATGTATAAGAAAACGATGGCATGACCAGACTGTCAAACTTACAACCACCAGTCAGTGTTGATTTCTCAAAACTTCAGTTCACAGAACGTCTGTTAACAAGAAATAAACACAGGATATCTATTTATAAATATAATTTCAAATTTGGATTGATCAGTCATGTTTGACGAATATAAGTTGTTGTACATGCATAGGAGACACCAACAACTGGATCTACATGAGTGGGCATTAATCTGTTTATATTCTAGAGTTAGACTGAATTACATTTTCTTTTTTATAGAATTATTTTCACTAGTATTGTTTTTATAACCTCTGTGTTTTGTCTCTAGCAACGTTTTCCTATTCAAAATGACAACATTTTTGCAGTGATGCACATTGACAAAATAGTTTGTTATGGTGTCAAATTCGCAAAACCGTGTTTGAATATATGTGAAAGATATGCTCTA